AGGAAGGGGAGGAGGGAGAGGAACATGATCACTCTTACTGCAGGATTGCGCGTGTGTGAGAAGGGCGATGCGGGGGAGGCAGAGGAGGACGATGAGGAGGCGGAAGAGGAAGAGGAGGACAACGAAACGGAGGACGATGGCAAAGGCCATCCTCCTTCTCTTCCAGCTCCCCCCCCAGGGACCTTGGAGCCAATGAAGCCTCCTAAGCCCCTTTGAGCCATTCCTCTTCCTCCTGCTCTTGCTACTGCCCTTCCTTCTCCTCCATGGGCCTGAAAATCCGACGGGTGGCGGTGCGCCACGTGACTTGGGCATGTCGGCTCTTGTGGGCTGGGGGTGCCCCGAAGACCTGGGGCCCTCGATCGCTAGACTCTACCAACATCTGGAACGCCCGAACCTGGCGAAAACGGTGGTCATCGCCCGCGGGTCCGCGAGCTCGTGGCCGATCCGCTGGGCCACCAATTTGCGATAACCGAATTTTTGAACAACGAGTCGCGGGTGATCGTGTGGTCGGAAACAAACCGCGGAGCAGGAACACTCCTTGGAGAAGAGGGGGGCTACCAAGGTGCTCAACCCTTTTATGCCCTTGTTTGTGCACAGCCCACTGTTTTAGGCCAAGGGGCACTACCTGAGACAATCGTTGCCCAGCTTGCATTGCCTGGTTTTCCGCGGCCTGAGGGCAGCGATCGCGTATGGGCTGACAGGGCATGTTTTGATCAGCGTGATGAACAAAGCCCTGTATGGAGTCAGGCACGCCACCTTGCCACGTTGCCGACTGCTTCTCCCAGCGGGTCCATCCAGTCCAGTCCTCCTCTTCCCCCTTTATCCTTACGCCTACTGATTAAACACCTCCCCCAAAACCCAACCTAGCCGACGATAGCAACCCCGCCGTCCTAACAGTCAACAAAAACAGCACAAGCTCAACTTTGTTCTCCCCAGCGTGTCGTCGAGTTGCGAAACTTGTAGCAGGAATGGACATCGCTTGGGTAGCCCTAAGCGGGTGGTCGCGTCCTACATATCAAAGAGCATTGCAAAATCAACGTTTGTCTCGACAACATGGACTTTCTTGTCGCCGGCGCTGCGAAACGGGTAGCAGGAATGGGACGCGGCGCACATCCCGCGCGGACGCCTGGCCAACCCTACGCGGGACCCCCCGTCCTACCTCCCAACAAACACCGCGAGGTCGATGGTTTTTTTGCCAACGTGTACTTTCTCCTCGTCGGCGCTTCGGATCGCGTAGCGGGAATGGGACGCCCCGCGAATTCCCAAGAGGCATTCTCCTCTTCCTCCTCAGTTTCTCCCTGCCTCCTTCTCTCCCTCCCCTGCTCCTCCTCCTCCTCCTCCTCCTCCTTCTCCTCCCCCTCCTCCATGCGCGGCAAGAGCGAAACGATTGGCGGTACAACACGCGTGGCTGGAATGAGACGCGGCGCACTTCGCGCGCTGGAAATGTTGTCGCCGACGATGCAACATGAGAGGGCGGAGCGGGGCGCGGCGTACATCGCGCGCGGTCTTGTTTCTATGTGACGTTGCTCATTACGCGGCAGGAGTAGGACGCAGCTCATGTCGCGCGCTGAACGTCTAGCCGCCCATGATAGAAGATGAGCGACAGGCGTCGGACGCGACGCACTTGCTTCTTATGTTGTGGGAGGGAGGGTGGGAGTGGACGGAGCCCTCTGGCACGTTCGAGCTGGCTAACTTGACCCTTACCTCCCAACCTCCCTCCCTTAACCTGCCCCGCCTCTTCGTTTCTCCTCATTCTCGTCGCTGGAGGGGGATGGAGGGAGATGGGAGGAGGATGGGGAGGAGGAGGAGGAGGATGAGCGAGGGAGAGAGGAGGTGGAGGAGGAGATGGAGGAGGGGGATGAGGAGCAGGGGGATGAGAACAAGGAGGAGGAGGAGGAGGAGGTGAAAAAAGAGGATGCCCTCAAAATGTCTGGAGGCCGTCGGAAGTCCCTAAAGGCTCCCTGTGGCGTCCGGAAACCGCCCCACATGTCCAATGAATTCCAAATCCTCCACCCTTGATCCGCAATCTTCGATGTGGAGGATGTTGGCGTCAATGATCATGCTGATAATGATGACAAGGAGGATGAGGAGGAGCATGGGCACAACCAGGGTAATCCCAGGATGCGTCAACGATGCTGCAACGCACCCTCCTGTACCGAGTCTCCTCATCATGAATCCCTATGTGTACTCCTTCGCACTGTGGGAAACTCCCTCCCTGAAAAGACGAGCGCCAATAAGTCAACCCTTCAAGCGAGAGCTCCGTTTTGAACTGGAGCTGCCTTCTACCCTTCTATCCATGAGGTGTGCCAAAAAACAATGATCAATCACCTTGAGTGTCCAGCGAACGTCCTGTTTTGAGAAACCACCCTGTATCCGTGCGAGTGCTGCGACAGTCGTTTTGAGAGCCAGTCGTCCTCCGTCCGTGTGACAGTTGCATAACCTCAACTTTCGGGTAACAGCGTCTGACGACATCTGACGCGGGAGACCCTTTTCGGAAACC